TAAAGTTATAGTTAAGTAGTGTCGTAGGACGACGTACGTACGTAGTAGTAATAAGTAAATAATTAATATTAGTTTCTTCATTACCCATTCGAGCCGTCTCCAGCCATTATTAGTCTCAAAGTGGGTTCCTCGTCATCGAAAAGTTTGTTATATTGTCTAAACTCTGGTGGCTAGAATTCTAGGAAGTGTCTACTTGAGATGAAAGTGAAATGTTTTGTTTGTTATGCAAAAAGCATTTTCCAGGCCATGGAAAAAGCAACGTGATAACCAACATGTTAATAAATCTGGAAAAAGAATAAAAAACTGCAGTAATAATTATGCCAAGTCTCATCAAAATAAGTCTGCAGTTGAGGCTGAACTTCTTAGCTGAGTGTCCATTTTTCACAAATATTAATTTATTTTTAGGAGGATTATCCAGTATGGAGTGCCTTTACTGGTTCAGATGTAAGTGTTGAAATATAACTGCTGCTTAAAAGGGATATTTTAGTTTATTATAAATTTGCAGACAGTCGCTACAAGAAAAAATCTATAAATTCATGTGTAAGAATGCAACAAAACAGTCCTAGTTTGTATTTAAATTTTAAACATTTTACAGGGAATCCTGTCCCCAAACCCAATAGAAATATTTTGTTCCTTTGGCAGGTGCTGCCCATGAGCAACCAAATAGCCACCTATCTAAATTCTTAATGACATCACTGGATACTGAATAGAAGTCAATAGTAATATAGGAGACTGACCAGCCAACTCAAAGGGAAAGACTACTGAAAGAAATGGGAGGATGTAGCAGATGATCCACCCATGGTAGTGCTAGGAGATACCAAATATCCATATTGGGATTGAAATGCAAACCCAACAAGTGCATTCTCTGTATGAAAGCCTTTAGAAATTAGTTGAAAATATACAGGTTTGAGCCGTGGAAGGTAAAGAGAGCAACTAAAAGATAACCTATGTAGCCACAAGGTTTCCTGCAAAGTGTAAGATCCATGCTTCTACAGGATCAAAGTTGAGGAAAGGTTCCAGAAACAACTGATCACTAAGCCCTATGACAGCTAGCTTCTTGGGAGGAGGAGCATCAGGAAGGGGCAATAGGGTGAGGAACTTCCAAGAAAACTACTGCATGAAGAAAGGGTGCCAGATGGAGTTCCCTGCAATAAAATTGAAGGAGTCTATTCTAGAAAATAAAGTATCCCAATGAAACAAATCCCAAAAACCAAGAAAGCAAGTGTACTGGGCAACAGATGAAGGAGAAAATGGAAAAGCATTAAAAACAAGTTGGTGTGACCTTCCTCAGTAGAGTTGTTGTGATTGCAAAGCAAAGCCTCAGAAGGAAAGGGTAGAGGGAACAGCAAGATAAGAAGGTAAGAAAGTAAAAGATGAAAATGAGCAGACTGATGGTAAAAGAGAATCAAAGTGGGAAAAGCAAATCCCCACAGGGATTGGAATATCATAAAAAGAGAATTTCAGCCAAAGGCATAGTGTAGAAGTCTTACAATCAGAGATGAAGTGACAGCTGAAAGTCAACATGAAGTAGAGACAGAAAGAGCCTACAATGATGCAACAATCAGGTGAGAGATGAAGAGGTGAAAAAATTATCACACAAAATGACAAAGGTGGGTTTTACCTGATACTTGTTAGGTAGAAGAACCACAAGTAAAGGAAGGTAGTGAGAAGGGCTGGTCAAAGTCATACGAAGACAAGCCAGGCTTAGCAGAAGTTAAATAAGCAAGAAGCAGCAAGTCTTGGGTGCGAGATGGAAAATGTAAGACAGAACCAATTACATGATGTACAGTGGCAGTAACACTGCTCATTCACCATTAAAGGAAAATAAAATAACTTACAGAGGAAAGTCTGAACTTTGGGAGATTCCAAAAACATGAATGGGAGAAGTCATATTCAGTAATATTTATGAACTTGAATGCATGGAAAGTATTATTATTATTTCTACAATTGTTTATTTATATTTTTTTCAGTAGATCTGATATGTCTGTGGTACTTAGACATCCTTTTCATATCGATGAAACTGAGATTAATTATCCTATTCTGCCAAAAATCCAGACACCAGTTTAATAACAATGGTGAATATTCCTATCACAGACTCTGGAACATGGTTTGATTAAGAGAAGAAATTCAAGTAATACACAAAAATTAATAATAATTTGTATCAAAACCTTTACATGAAATCAATTTAAAAATGTGTATCTTTTTTATCACAATCAAGAAAATGAAGATAAGAAAAATAGCACTTTGAATGTTAACTAAAAAATTCAAATAATAAGCATAACAATTCTGTAAATCGTAATGGAAAAAAAAAAAGAAAACGACTGAACAATGCAGTACCGAGAAAATTAACGAGCTTTTGGTATACACAGTGTGCTCAAGTGTATACTGCTTTTGAAATAAATGTCGCCCTCCTATTGATGGAGGGCTAGTCTAATGTTGATTGAACCACTGTTTGGTACAGTACATTATTACATGTACAAGTAGCTTAGCATTTCTGTAAAAACTTTTTTGCAGTAGCATAAGGTATTAGCTAGTTGTTTTGTGAAGAGGTGAGTAGCATTTCTGAGTTGCAATATTTTAGCTCAGAAAAGGAAAAAAACCACTTTAAAGATAATGTCAATCAACCCATATAGTAAAAATTATTTTTGTTGTATGAAAGTAACAGTAAACAAAGTGAAACTGCATGGGGTGTTTTTCAGATCCAAACTAAGACAAAACTTGGTTTTATTAAATAAACATTTTATTGGAAAATTTTGAGAATGTAGGAAGACAAAAATCAGTAATCAAAGGTATGCATTTTTCGTTATTTCATACACACACACAAAAAAACATACATAAAGAAATCTTTACAAGTTTCTAAAGCTGAGAATTCATATAACTATCACACAGAAAAATGAGATATTGTATTTTACTGAGGCTTCATAATCTTTAGAGAGTTCAAGTCAAGCTTAAAACAAGTTAATCCAGTAGATGTTTTATTGTAACACAATATAATAAACCATATAGCAGATACACATTGGAATGACATACCCAGGCATTTAAGGGTTAAGTTCAGTACAACCATCAAATATTGTACATTAACCACAACAAACTTTTATTACCATCACTCTACACTATGCATTGCATTCCTGTTTTAAAATAGAATTGGATTTGATTCAGATTGTCTCTAAGTGAGTGTATAATTTTTAGTTGACTGCAGGATGGAATATCTCATATATGAAAAGAACACTGCTCCACATGTCACTGGGTTATTGAATATGTTCTTGGTATGACTAAAATCAAACTGTTTTGTGATTTTGTATGAATGGAATGCATTACACTGGGTAACTATCATACAGGCTGGCCTTATGAAGATGGTTTCTAGCTATCTGCACACTGACAGCTTCTAGTTACAGCTACAAACATCTGATTCAGTCTAAATGCAGTCACCCTATGATTGTTGCAAGCAAGAACTGACAGACAGCAGTTGGTTGTTTTTGTTAAAGAGAATGATCCATAACGTAGGGGTATCAGATAAATTGTATCTTTAATTTGCAGCTGATACCACAGTTTAAGATACTTGTATCTAATTCACAACAGCCTGCTGGGATTGATGATTTCCAGTCATTTGATGGTTATTTTTATATGTGAAACATTCAACTGCCTTCTTTTCACTCAAGATTTAGTAAGGGTACTATATGTACAGTGGAGGCTCATGATCAACCACTTCCATATCAGATCACATGAATTAACTTAGGTGTAATTGACATTATTTAATAACAGTAGTTTTGTCTTATTATCAGTACAATATTACAATTTCAGCTATCATTTGTTTTACAATGTGCTAAATTAAACATTTTCTTCAGAAATTCACATTAAAAAAGGCCCGTTTAAAACAGATGGATGTACATGTCACCTACTTCAATGAATATTAAAATCCCAACTAGTAATTATATTTCATTACAGAATTTTCATATAAACATCCAGTTGTGTATTCATTATTAAACAACACTTTACTTTTCAAAAGTAATTTAGGTTTAAACACATACAAAAAAACAACAACTTTATTCTGTGTTCATGGATCTGCAAAAGCTTGTTTTTGTTGATTCTGCCATAACCACTAGTTAAGGAAATGCTAAAATTTAGTAAAACAGTTCTTTTTTGACTAATAATTTAATTTTGTTCTTCTGATAAAACTGTTACTTACATTAAAAATAATATCCTGGATGTGATGCATCTTGTCTGTACTTTCTAAGTCATAGAAACGGATGGTTATGACGTAATGAGAAAAATCCAGGAAGCCCAAGTGAAGAAGTGTGAGCCCATCACACAACTAATAGAAAAAATACACTGTAGTTTATAATGAATCATTATTTCTAGTTCTGTTTAAAAATATATCTAAGATATTCTGTACTTGTTTGTTTAGGAAAACTTTTCCTACATACAAATAATTTTTCATAAAAAAAAAGATGTTTGAAATTTGCTGTTATAAAGAGAAATTAAATACTAGTGCATTTAGTAAGTAGTATAACTTTCCTTAGATAAAGCAGGTATGCACCAGTAATTTTCAAATTTGTCATAACCTACAGAAAAAGATAAAACATGTGCTTCTGATGAATATTATGCAAAATTAATCTTGTTGTTGTTATATAATTAAACATGATCAATATAACAGAGAAAAAGAAAACACAGTAAATAATTAAAAACAAACTGCAAGCTACTACTCCATAGGCATGATTAAATTACTATTATTAAGGCTCATGACTTATCAAAGAATGTTGTTAGTTATTATAAGTAGAACATGGACAATTTTTGCTTTTACTGTATGCTATCATTACCTTATCTATATAATTTTGTTTGTACTGTTATTCACGAATCTGTAAATAGACAAGTTTTACCTGATATCACACTATCATGAGAATGACTGATAGACAGAACTAATGTCCAACATTTCTGAAGTTGTAGAAATTGTAATTGACTTTGCCATTTTTTTGGAGCTGAAATTAAGGTATCTTTAAAAGGGAGTGAGAAAAAAAAAGATTAAAGCTGTAAAGAAAATTCAAGTTAGTATTTAGGTACTTGCCTCTAATAGACTAGAACCTTTGGTTGCTTGCAATGAGAAACAAGATAATGAAGAGATTTACAAAGTGAGAGACTCGAGAGACTCTTTCATTTAACTCTTTCAACCCAGGCTCAATTGACCTTGTAACCAATTTGTGCTTGTTATAGTTTTCATGCTATAACTTTTAAATTAGTAAGCGAATGTTAACAAAATTTGG